TTTACCAGAACTTGAACTCGGGAAGACGACGAATAAAGGGCTTAAACTCATCAGAATCTTGATTAGGCAAAGAAGCACCATCTAAAGCTTCAAGCTCAGGATCGACTTTAGGAGATAGGAAACCAATCAAGAGGTTTAAGATGTAAGTAGCGAGACCATAAGAAATGACGAAGAACCCGTAAGCAAAGTAAACCCTAGAGATATAGATCACTGCAGCGAGTAAAGTCACTAGCCATCTTCGAACAAAGTGAGGAGCAGATCTGTCCAAGTAATTCTGAAATGACTTTGAGAATTCGATTCTCCATCTCGCGAGTGGTGAATCGATTATTGTGTCTCCGTCTCCTTCACTTCCTGGTTCCTCCTCCATGAAAATTGAAACAGATCACTGATCTCTTGAAATCGAACAAAAAAATTAAACACAGATCGAATCAAAACGAAATTCTTGATGGTCTTGAACTAATCAAATGAAAAGTCGTTGTTTAATTTAACATTTTACCAAACAAAAAAAAATTCGTTGTCTACTTGGTTTTCTTTCTTGGGAAGAAGATGAAACTGAATGACGTGGCGGGTTATATGGGACACGTGTCGCAGGTTAAGATGCTGTCTATGGGAAAAGGTAAAGGGCTTTATATTTTTGTTATATATTAATGGGCTTCGTTTGATTTCTTTAAGCCCATTATATATTAATTCGATTTTGTCAAATATTATGAACTAGATTACGCATTAATATCATATTTAAGTTTTCATTAATAACTCATTAAATTACAAAAGTATTTAAAAATATTTAAACATGACTTTTAAACCATTAAAATTTAACTTATAACTCAATTTTTATTTCTTAATTCATATTATGCACAGCAAAAAAAAAATATATATGATTTTTTTTTTGGTCGAAACGTAATTGATATTAAATTCAAACTGCGGTTACCACATGAAGAGGCCGAAAGCTCGATGCCAAGGAGTCCGAAACTACAACATACTTAAAATACAAATACAAAGCAAGATAACGAAAATATAGAAGGTTATACTCATAGGTAACAACTAGTAGCACCTTAAAAAGGGCTAGTTCTTCTGCCACCAAAGGCGAGGGAACGAAACTTTTAGCTCGTAGTGCCATTACGGCTGAGTCTTTGAAGACATTCTCTATGAGAGAGAAGGTTGGTGGCAAGGTTCTCTCTGAATCGGAGGAAAATGATGAAAGTGATCTCTCCATAGAGGAGGAAGTTGGTGATGATAATCTCTTCAATGAAGAGAACAATGATGGATTTGATCTCTCCATAAAGGAGGAATTTTGTTTAAAATTTCTCTCTAAAATTGAAATTTAAAACACACTGATTTACCAGAGATTTGGTGACAACCGGGTTTGGACTGATGGGCCTTTGTGGGCTGGGAAATGTTACAAAGCCCATTAAGAGGTTAATGTGGCCCAATCCCAAATCTGCTTCACGACGAAGAGGCTTGGTCGGTGAGAGCACTAGGTCAGATGACCGGAAAGCAGTGACGGCGGAGGACATGCTGATCTTTAATAGGAGAGAGTAACGATGGTTACAGTAGTGATTACCTCTTCGCCGGAGCAGCTCACTTGATCGGAGATTCAGATCTCGATTGAAGCAGGTGTAGAGGATAGGTTCCTTAGAAGGCTCGACGAATGGAAATGCGAAGGGCCAGAGAACGAAATCGCATGAGAAGAGGAGGCTAGATCCGGCTTGTTGCAAGTTAGAGGCCGAGAATCGAGGGAGAGGCAGAGGATCATGATAAACAAGCGGATCCAGAGTGTCTTCATAATCCGGCAGGTCTAGAGGATCTGGTGGTTCCAGCGGTTTCATTATCATCTTCATCAACGGCATGAGAGGATATCGAGCATATGAAATCAAAGGAGGATCTGGCTGATTCGTCGGTTTGGAGGCCAAAGCTCGAAGAGATGTCATCATCGCATACATGAGCAAGCGAGTCGAAGGAGCTTGCATGATTCTCGCCATCGACAAAGGCCAAACGAGCAGAAGTTGAGAAGCTTGAAGAGGTCTCATCAGCGAGACAGCTAGCACGACGGAAGGTTCAGAGGCTTGAGCGACAAAGAGACAACGGTGATAGGCCATCAGATCTGTGGAGGAGCGTTGCGGGGCCACGGTCTCGGGGCTCGAGCCTGAGAGAGTTTTAGGACGAAACCTATCCCCCTTCACTTTACTGATTCTTCATAGTCAACATCTTAAATGAAATTAAAATCATATTCTTAATAAAAAAAAAACATATTCGTACACAAATGAATTTATATTAACAATATGATAAAATTTTATAACAATTAAAATATTATAGAGTTAAATCCTAAAACAATAAAATTATGTGAATGATTTCATAAAAACGTATAAAATATTTTATAAATAGTTTTATCAAGCATTAGTTATAAATCTATGATTGATAATTGTAATTGATGTCATCGGTTTATTTTCATAGAAATCTATAAAATTATGTGAAAATTATGTTTATATTTTTTTTTTCTTTGGTATGTCTGTGCATATAAAATTTAACATTGAGATTTCTATATTCTTTCTAATTTTATGTTTTTCAATTTCTAAATTTTTTTTTTATGATTCTTCTTTTTTTTCTTGATTAAAATATATATTTCCTCTCTATTTTTTCTTTATTCTTTATAGTCTTTCTATATTCTATCCTATTTTTTTTATAATTTCTTTAAACTATTATAAAAAAATTCTCGTAGCTATTTGAGATTAGTAGATACTTTTTCTTTTATTATTTGGTTAGAAGTTTGACAATTATTTTGTTCGTTTTCTATTTTTGTTAGTTGTTTGATAATTATTTTGTTCATTTTTCATTTTTAATACTTTGTCTTAATTAATTGTAAGTTTTGACACATGTCATCATTTGATTAATATTGGACACATATCACGATCTGTGAACAAGAATTTTTGCTTATGTATCGCATTCTCATCGTGCGCATTCTCTTTTATATAATAAGAGACTAGAATAGGATACACAGATCAAAACAATAAAAATTACTAAAATAAACATTTAAATTTTAATTAGGTACTCGTTAAATTTTAAAATACTATTTAACGTAGATTCTAAAATTATTTGAAGTTAATTTATATCATAATTTTCATGTTCTAATCCATATCATGCAAATCCAAAAATATATATAATCAGAATTTAAATCATATTTTTAATAATAAAGAAAAATATATATTAATTCATTATGAATATTTATGATATAATAGATATTGACAAAAAAACAATATATGATAGAAAAAAAAATATTATATAGTAAATCAGAAAAGAGTAAATTTCTGTTTATAACCTTATAAAAACTATAAGTAATGTTATGAACAATCACATAAGTACATGATTGATAGTTTTATTTTATAAATGTCATCGTTTTATTTTTCATAGAGATTTATTCTGTATGTATTATTTATTTATTTTATGGCTTATGTCATGTTTATATTTCATCTTAATTTTTTTTTATTAGTATGGATAATATTAGAAATTTTATTTTTCTTATTTGATTAGTGACTTGACAAATTAATATATTTGTTGTATAAATTCTAATACTCGAAGAATTCTTTGATCCCAACACCTTCATTATTGATATTTGATTGCTTTAATGGTTTTAACTTTTGGTTTTCAAAAAGAAATATATATATTTGATTGCTTTTAGGTTTATTATTTACTATTTTCGTCACTATTTAGAGCATTAATTCAAACACTCCTATTCTTCATCGTAACTTGACTCTTAAAAAATTTTAGTGTGATTATTTGGTTTCTTGTGAAGACCATAGGTACAACTGCGTTTGTTGTGCACTTGCATAATTATCTCGGGTTAAAATTTTGAGACATCAATAGTGTATTTAAGGCATGCTCTTCTAAACAAAAAGCTAATACGATACTAAAAACCTCGAAGAAATTAATACGGCGGCTGGTTTTTGTTGTTTCTTTCATTTTTTTCATTTTTTTCTTGCGTTTTTATCTGTATTTCTAAACAAAATTGATAGATCCACTATTAAATAATAGGTTTTTACAATTATAAAGAATAAAAATAGAATTTTTCAATAGTTCCAATTTTTAACCGATTCTAACGAAATTGATGGTTGAACGCTTTGTTTCTGACTAAACCGGTCGTGTTTTCGAACATGTTTCTCCAAAATTTTTAAATTGGTTTTGTGAGAGCTAATTGTATATTTGACCTCGAAAAATTGTTTCCCCAAAAATACAGATGCTATTCGAAGAATGGTCATTTGTGCTTCTACTAGATTTTTTTATTTTTTTTTTGTCACTAATTATTTTATATATTACTGATCCATATTACAAAGTCAGATACCAAATATAGTCCGAAAGTTTATCAGGAAACAAAACCCGAAAGATTAGCGGGATGCATAGCCCGAAAGTTTACCGGGAGACAAAGCCCAAAAGATTACTGGGAAAAAAAAGTTTTAAACAAACGAGTACTAGAAAACGAATCTACCACTAAGCGAAAGAACATGAGAAGCAATCACAATCCAGAGAGAGACGGAAAGAGTAGAAGCCGCGGAATTAACAAAACTCACAAATCGACGACGAAGCTAGAGAAAACCGCGAAGAAATAGATCCAAATACGACGAATAGCATGATTAAAGAAACACGAACTGAAATCTAAACTCCTACCCACCTAATCTTCACCATAACGAGTCTAAATTAAGAGGTTTGCATCCCCACAAAAAGTTAGCCTTACAAGAAGTGATCATGAAAGACATAAAGGCGAAAGCTGATTATTCACTAAAACTAAAGGCGGTGGAAGGAGACGGTTATAGAGACACCGAAATAACAAGGATGCTAAATGAAGAATACCAGCCTCAACCCAACGACTAATCCCACACAATCTGCAGAAAGCCAAAAGCAACCCAAACTTCTAAGCCATGACGGATTCAAAATCTAAACAAACCAGCACCAAATCCCTAGGCACAAAGACTGAGCTACATATGCAACGACCAAAGTGAGACCCAAAGGAGCACTCCACGTCACAACAAAAGCAAATGGAATGGACCAAACACTGCCGCATAAGAGACAAAGCCGGACCACCTTCCAATAACCATCCGCACCAATACCTCACCGTTCCAAAACTCCGAGCTTCCAACAAAGCCTTAAAAAGCAAGGACCTAAATCATCGATTGATAGGTTGTAAACCGCTGACAAATTGCAGATCCGAACAAAATGATCCCACACAAGCCAGACCCAAAGCCGACCCAGTTCCACACCTTCGCCGATTTCCTTACCGAAGCCGGAATCACCAACACCAAGGCAAAGCAAGACACTCCCTTCTTCCACCACCGCCACGATCGCCACTGCAATACCAAAGTCGAAAACCAAGCTAT